GGATTATGATAAGGGAGCTTGGGGTATTCTACGTTATCTCCAGTCTGTGGTGTAGTATAAGAAGAATGGGAGGAAATAACTTTGGATTTATAGAAGAATTATCAGAATGGGTGTACCAGTTGAAGACGCGATTACGCGCACAAGGAGGGTATGAAGTAGTTCGTGGGTTTTGAGACAGTGTGGTCTCGTGAAATGGGGTCACTCAGGATGAGTGTGGATTGAGTTCGCTATGTTTGGAATGGAACTATTATTATTCCTAAGGCAAGTCCAGGGTAAATTAGAAGAAGTCGGATCGGTTAGCGGTGGTTGAATCGGCATAATAATGGCAATGATCAGCTCCTTCAGCGTGTTGAGTTACTCATGTGATTTGTGACGGTACGTGCGAGGTTTGACGGTCGTCGTAATTGATTTTAGTTGGGGGCTTTCGAGTATTAGGGCATGTTATGTGCAGATGGATCCCAGAAGAGATATGGTGGTTTACACCACTACTTGAGGCTGGTATTTTCTACGGATATGAGAATTCAGTCATGTGTTGCAATGGTTCTCTTGAAATGAGTTAATTAAACGTTTCTATAAGATGAAGTGTTTACCTTATTAGAAGTTCAGAAGTTAAGATGAAATTCTTGTACTCTTGCGCATTGGCATGATTAAGTGCAGTGAACGACATGGGATTCGGAAGTTGAGGATCAAGGTTGCAGTTTGGTGTCGACAAGAATGTCAAGAACTCGGATGAGCGGCCAAAGGATTCAGATGGTTAGATTAAGCTGGTATTGTCATTTAGCCTCACCTGAGATCGGTGTCCTGTGTAAGAGGCTTTTAGTACTGATTTCGGATTTTTGATTTGCTTTACAGCATTTGTGTGGCCGGGGGTATGGATGTGCAGACTTGTTATCTGGTGCGGAAGGTCGTGGGAGCATGTCCCATAGGAAAATTGTATAAGTGTAACATATAGTCACTTGATTGATCGAAGATCGGAACCAAGTATGGAGATTGTGGTACTATTGTTCATGTGAGAATTTATGCCTGGAGGGCGCTCGGTTCATTTGGTTGTGGACTATGGAGGTTTGTTCCGGATATGATGGTTGTTTTTGTGTGTATGGGAAAAAGGGTTATTATGAACCCTTGAAAGGTTATTAGACTAGTACGGTGCGATCAGAATCTGCTTGAGGTCCGTGGATGGATCAAGATATGAATGTGGGCTATATATCGGGCCGGAGGTGTTCATTTCAGCATAGCGCTCCTTGTGGTGGAGTATTCGTACGTTGGATGTTATTTCGTCTCCGGCTATTTCATGTAATACTATATTGTGCCGTATGAGTTGTGAAATGGCTTGATGAATTTCATACGAGTTGAGGTTCTCCATAGCGATGGTGTTATGTGAGCAGGATGGCTCTCGAGATTTAGATCATATATCGTACCTTAGTTGTGCTTGAGTTTTGTGGCGTATGGTGCTATCTGTCTCCCCAAGGATGGTATTATGCACTTAGCGTGCTTGTGGCCGATATTCGGGTATTTTGTAGTAATGAGCATTCTAGCTCGGTAAGTATCTCCTTATATAGATTTTATGTGTGGATCGGGTGGCACGCCGCCAGGGGTATGTTGTTTGGATCGGGTTGCACGCCGCAACAGTGTAATATTGAGTACAGTCCCCTTTATCTATTCGTGTGTGTTTTGTTTCCCATTTCATAGGAAGGTTCATAATACCTTTTCGGTTGTCTAATTAGTTGCGGGTCATTTGGCTAAAGTTAGAAATTTGAAGGTTTTTGAGAAGTTTGATCGGAAGTGGACTTTTTTATACCGGGGTTGGATTCCTATTCCGGAAGTTGAGTAGGTCCGTAATGTCGAATGTGACTTGTGTGCAAAATTTGAGGTCAATCGGACGTGAATTGATAGGTTTCGGCATCGAATGTGGAAGTTGAAGTTCTAAAGTTCATTAAGCATGAATTGGGGTGCGATTCATGAATTCGACTTTGTTTGATGTAATTTGAGGCCTCGAGCAAGTTCGTGTTATGTTTTTAGACTTGTGGGGGTATTTGGTTTGGAGCCCCGAGGGCTCGGGTGAGTTTCGGACGTTCGGGAGGATGAAAAAACTCTAGTTTTTTCTGGTGTTTCTTGGCAGCAGTTGCAGGTCTTGCAAATGCGAGAATTTGTTCGCATTTGCGAACCTGGAATATGCGAGAAGGGCTTCGCAATTACGATTGAGCCTAACCTGGGATAGAGTTCGCATTTGCGATATTTTGGTCGCATTTGCGACCTCAGTAGAGTCCGCATTTGCGACTCATTGGTCGTATTTACGACCTTGGCAGTGGAGGCTCATGTTCGCATTTGCGATGGTTTTGTCGCATTTGCGACCTTCGCATTTGCGAACCAGGTGTCGCAAATGCTATGTCTAAGGCCTGTGCACAGCTTATTAATTGCGAGACTTAGACCATTTAGCTCATTTCCTTTCATCTCTTGGGCGATTTTTAGAGCTTTTGGAAGAGGGTTTTCACCTAGCACTTTGAGGTAAGTAATTTCTACACAACATGAGTTTAATACATAGATTACGGATAGATTAACATGTAAAAATTGGTGAAATCAAGGGTTTAGATGGAAACCTAGATTTTGGATAAAAATGAGATTTGACCACGAAAATGGTTATGGAATTTGGTAAAAAATCATATATTTGACTTTATAAGGTTATCGATAACTACTCTCTTCGAAAACTTTTAGGAATACGGGCATGTGGGCCCGAGGGTGAATTTTAGGAATCTTACATTTGGGTTGGGTAATCACGTTAATAGTTGGAATATGAATTTTCGAACATGTATTGATTAGTTTATACACTATTTGATTAGTTATGGATTGTTCGGCACCAAATTGAGGGTTTGAACATAGTCTTGGACAGGAAAGTGGCTTCGGAGCGAGGTAAGTCTCCTTTCTAGCCTTGTAAGAGGAAACTAACCCCATAGGTGAACTAAATTATTATGTGATTCTATTTGTGGGGGGGCTACGTACGCACGAGGTGACGAGAATCCGTACGTAGCTACTAGCTATGCCTATGTCCAGATAGTTTTAGGCTTACATCATGCCTTGTTGATAATGTTATTGATTTATGTTTTATCTGTTTGCCTTGAGAGGGAGCGAGATTGAGTTTGCCTATTAAATGTTTTGAAAGGAATTGGAATTGAGGAAAAGTTGGGATCTTAAAAGTTTTTATTTGAACTTCGTATTTTGAAAAGAATGGAAGAATATCATAATAACTTAAGAAATCTATGTGTGACTGCGTCACAAATATGATCCGTGAGCGGGGTAAGTCATTAAATTTATATTTGATTGTGTCGCATGTATGATTCGCGAGCGGGGTAATGGATGCATCTATGGTTCGAGCCGTTCGACCCTCGGCAGTGTATAGTTTACATTTATGGTGGATCTGACCAAACGTTCTCGGAGAAATTCGTGTGTGATAATAGAACTGGAAGTCCCTTTTATAATTGACATAAATTCATTATTAGTGTGATCATTTGTTTTAACAGAAGTAAGTGAATTAGGTTCTTAAATATGGTGAAGACTTGTTCAGTTATTTCTTGTTTTCAGTTTTATCGTTGTATATCTTGCCTTATTAGAATTTCATATTATCATATTATTGGACCACTAGTAAGTGTCGGAGTCGACCCCTCGTCACTACTTCGAGGTTAGACTGGATACTTACTGGGTACGCGTTATTTTCGTACTCATACTACACTTGCTGTACATTTTGTTGTACAGGCACATGTGTGTTCAGTGGCCTTATGGGCGCAACGGCGCCGTTGATACGGGACTTAGGTGAGCTGCATCTTATGAGACGATCCGAAGCCAGCAGAGTCTCCTTCAGAGTACTTGTATATTCTTTTCTGTCCAAATTTGTATTCCGGACAATTATTGTATTATATTTTAAATTCCAAGAAATGCTCATGCACTTGTTACACCGGGTTCTGGGATGATTACGGGATATTCAGTATTAAGATTTGAAAATATTATTGATTATTCTGTAAAGTTCATCTTTATAATAGTTAAATTGAAGGAAAATTTATGATTTAAAAAATATTAAAACGAGAATTTAATTAACTACTTAGTGTTGGCTTGCCTGACAGTGGTGTCCGGCGCCATCACGATTTTTGGATTTTGGGTCGTGACAGATCATATGTGATTGTGCAATTTCCTATTTCTCGTCCAAGCCAAGAGAATGGTTCATCTCCTATAATCCGCCACCATCGTATTAAAATAACTATTTATAATATGAATCAAAATGTTGCCAAATAGACCTTTTCTTTTAATCATAACTGGAGATTTGCTCTCATGACTCTGCCAACAAAATAACACCCATCTTTACCCTTTCTATTATGTCATGCTACATTCTGGAGTGGCTTTTGTTATTGGAATTACTTCAATATAATTTTTTCTCAAAGTGGTCTTGGGATAAAACTGAATGTAATATGAAACGGATAGTCAAAATATATATGGTGCCACACAAAAGTTTGTTTGTAGGTTATTTCCGCTAATAGGTATGACTGTACATATAGCGTGAACCGTTGCCTTTTTTTCTTCAAACTTTGTAAGAAAGATATTAATTTACTTAGAAGGGTATTTATGTAATTTAACTTTTAAATTTTGGGCTTCCTACATTTATAATAATATAGATATAGATATAGATAAATATAGATACGGGCAAGTCGATATTAAAATATCGTAAAAATATGCCTAATATCATTATGATGACATTTTCTTGAAATTTTGAATTGCAAATTAAAGTATACTAAAGTTTACTTATAGAAGTTTAAACTTATGTCCTGGAATTCGAATTTTTACAAATAAAACTCTTGTGAGTTTGAGAAGGAGAAGAAAAGACGATGTTATAAAGAAGTCGTTGTGTGCCAACGATGTGTGGAGGGATATTATTGTTCAAATATTATTACTCCATTAAAGAGTGATTTAATTCTGATTAGTTTAAAAATAATGGCTGATTTTTAATCAACAGTTAAAATGGCTATTTTGTCCAAATAAACTTGAGTCATTTTATGGTTAGAAAAAGTAAATTGATTATTGAACTACTACAAGTCTACAACTATGCTATAAGTTGAGCATTAACCTTATTTATTAACTCCCAAAAACGACCAAATTCATGTGTCTGCATGAGTTTTTACGGAGGAGAAACTGTATCATCTGACCAAAACTCGTAGATTGCAACCATCTTGAAAATTTATTTTTACAGTCGCCTCCGTTTGCTTTGACAGGATAGTAAGAATAAAGAGATGATTATAAGCCCATTATTTACGGGTCCCTGGAAGCATCACCGCTGGAAAGGGAGTCTGAGATTTTTTTCGAACATATGCTACTATAGAAATAATGCTCCGCCATCGAAGTCCAACGTCGTTGTCTCCACTAACAAAGCCATAACAGAGCAAATGAAAGAGGGTTCAATTGAACAAGCTCGAAAGTTGTTCGATGAAATGCCTGAGAGAACCGTTGTCTCATGGAATACCACGATTTCTGGGTATTCCGAATGGGGAAAGTTCACCGAAGCGTTAAAGTTAGTTTCTTTGATGCATGGCAGCTATATGGAGCTAAATGAATCAACTTTTTCCTCAGTGCTAAGTGTTTGTGCTCGATCACAGTCGCTCAGTCGTGGCAAGCAAGTCCATGGGCTAGTCTTGAAATCTGGATATCAAAGTTTTCGTTTTGTGGGTAGTGCTTTATTGTATCTTTACTCCACTTGTTGTGAAATTGAAGATGCGAGAATGGTATTTGATGTGTTGCATCAGGAGAATGAGTTGTTATGGAGCTTGATGCTTGCGGGATATGTTCAATGTAACCTGCTAACTGATGCTTTTGAGATTTTTAGGAAAATGCCGACCCATGATGTTGTTGCTTGGACCACTTTGATTTCTGGATACTCAAAGGTGGAAGGTGGATGTCACAAGGCTTTAGAGTTGTTTAGGTCAATGAGAGAGGATGATAACGTGGTCCCGAATGAATTCACCTTGGACAGTGTTTTGAGGGCTTCCGGTAGATTGGGATCTTTATGTGAGGGTAGAGCACTTCATGGGTTGGTAGTGAAGCTTGGGTTTGAGTGGGATAATTCAGTTTCTGGTGCACTGGTTGATTTTTATTGTAATTGTGAGGTTCTTGATGATGCTATGTTGGTTTATAGTGCACTAGTTAATCCTTCCTTAAATGATTCAAACTTGCTGATTGGAGGGCTAATCAAGGCAGGCAGGATTGGGGTAGCTCGATCACTGTTTAACGGATTAATCAAGCGGGATCCTGCTTCATACAGTTTGATGATCAAAGGATATGCCATGTCTGGCCTAGTGGAGGAGTCAAAACAGTTGTTTCTGGAGATGCCGGAAAGAACTTTAATTTCCCTTAATACCATGATTACTGTGTACTCAAGGAATGGTGGAATCGATAAAGCTGTAGAGCTTTTTGAAGAAGCCAAAGTAAAGGAAAATTCTGTTACTTGGAATTCTATGATTTCAGGATATACCCAAAATGATCAACATGAGAGTGCGTTAAAGTTGTATACGACCATGAGAAGGTTAGCAATTAGCCAAACTAGGTCAACATTTGCTGTCCTGTTTCACGCTTGCTCCTGCCTTGGATCACTTCAGCAAGGTAAATTGATTCACGCAGATTTGATTAAAACTCCATTCGGATTCAATAATTATGTTGGAACAGCTCTTGTTGACATGTACTCCAAATGTGGGAGCCTTGGTGATGCTCAAGCGTCGTTTCACAGCATTGCTTTTCCTAATGTAGCAGCATGGACAGCTCTGATTAATGGGTATGCACATCATGGGCTTGGCTCTGAGGCGCTTAAATGTTTTCACCAAATGTTAGACGAAGGAATCGATCCAAATTCAGCAACTTTTGTGGGTGTCTTATTGGCTTGTACTCGTGTAGGTTTAGTGGGGGAGGGCACGAGACTTTTCCACGTTATGCAAGAACAATATGGTATAACACCCACCCTGGAACACTACACGTGCTTGGTAGATCTTCTTGGTAGATCAGGCCATCTACATGAAGCTGAGAAGCTTGTTAACAGAATGCATATTGAACCAGATAGCATTATTTTTGTTGCACTGCTTAATGCTTGTTGGTTCTGGATGGATGTGGAAATTGGTGAGAGGGTGGCTGAGAAACTGTTCTCATTGGATCCCAAGTCTACATCCGGCTGTGTTATCATGTCCAATATGTATGCAGGATTTGGCCGGTGGTTGCAGAAGATGAGAGCGAGGAAAGTATTGAGAAATCTGCAGTATAAGAAGGATCCTGGATATAGTTGGATTGAACTAAACAACAAGGTTCAATTTTTTTATGTAGATGATAGAACACATCATTTTTGTGATATAATTTACTCGACTTTGGAAAACCTAACAGCAAATGTGAACTCCGAAATTAATTTTGATTGTACTTCTTCAAGATTATATTGGGAAAGGGAGTTACTATCTTAGTTAATCCTCCTAATTATATTGGTATTGCAGAACATCCGCGGTGTTTAATTGATGTTATTAGTTTTTTGTCCAAAAAATTGCAACTAGCATCATGATGAATCCATAGCATCACCTAAAATTTGTGTTCTTGCTGTTTCATCATTTTGACTTCTCTATGCTTTTACTCAGTTTTCCCCAGTTTTTTTCTAAAAAAAATATCTAGATCTTGCCTCGCTTTGGGTGCCTGAGATAAAAATTAGTCCTGGATTCGTAATGGCTGATCCTTGTATATGAGGCCTTCTTCTGTCCAGATTAATGCATGTCGAAAATAGTACTTGGTCTCAAAGGCACAGGTTCAGTAGGCGTTGATATATCCTGAGATATTGTCGGTCTTGTTCATACAGTCTTCAACAATTTTGACGGGTCCTCAGTATATATTCTTTCATTATCCTCTGACATTATAGATCACAAAGTGGTTTAGATTTCATATTCCTAAGAAATAGTAGGAATATTAGCTTCTAGAGCTGTGTCCACTTTCCCAGCAAAATTCTGATGCTTTTCTGATCTTTTTTGGTAATTCTGATGCTGTTTTGGAATAAATCTCATATTTTACAAAACAGTACGACTATTAGTTTTTGGAGCTGCATTCACTTTCCTGGCGTAATCTGATGCTTTTCTGTTCTTTTTTGGTAGTTCTGATGCATTTTTGGGAAAAAGCTCTTGTTGGGCAGAATTTTACTTAAGCGCCATAACTTTGAAGCGCCAGTAATTTTGACTAATTTTTCAGCATTCTGGCAAAATCCTGAGAATCACCATAACAGTTGTTAAGGGAAATCTTGCCCAGAATGTATTTAAATTCTGGCGCTTAAGGAAAATCCTGTCGAGCGTGCTTTAAAATTCCTCTCCTTTCCTTTTAGTCCCTAAAATTTTTTTGGGCGAATGACACAAATAGGAATAGGATACTGTCTGGCAATTGTGTCAAAAAATCAACAGTAGGAATTGGAGTTTTGATGTGTGGCTGAAGTTTAGGCCCTAGGGAGAAACAAGGTCATAAACAAGAACTCTATGGTTTTTGAAATTCTGCTCAACTGTCCTCTCTAAGAAAACCTCTTCTTTCCTTTCTCTCCTAGTCATTCCACATCAAAGAAAATTATTATTATCCTTTTCTTTCTTCCAACTAAAAAAACGACTAGTAGTGGATATCGTGGATGCAGTATTTGATTATCTTTCGTATATTAGTCTTTCCTTAATCATGACTGATGAGTCAAGAAATAATTTAAGATTTTATACTAAACTTTATGGCTTAAAGCAGATTTCTTTGAAGGGGTCACAATTATAGAATAATCTCTATTTTATAAAGCAGAGTAAAATACGTGATTGCTGGGTCAACTATATAGCTCAAAACTAAAGTGAAAATGACAAAAAAAGAAAAATGAAAGAAAAGTAGAAGCTTGAGGCACAAAATAAATTCTTTCAATTCTCGAGAGAATTAAGAGTTACAGAACAGACTAAGCAATGCATGCAAATATTTCTTGGTCCTCTTTCTGAACGTTGGTGAGGGCAACTCCTTGATCGAGTAAGTTTTTACCTGCTTGTCCAAAAATAAAATGGTAACAAAACTCTTATTATTACTTACCAATAGATAACAAGAATGAAACAAATAGATGGCAACACACAATGTGAGAATATGTATAGTATACCTTACCTTGAGTAAATTACGAAAATTAAGCTAGCTCTTCAAATCTTGGTACTGAGATTCTCAGTGACAATTAACTTCGATTCTTTTACCTCATCCAATGGGAATTCTTGCTTGATTTTCTCATCGTTATATTCCAAATTTGGCCATTTCTTTGGTTCTAAATCCTTTATGGGGTTCTTTCGGTACTTGCAATACAGTATAAGCTGCAGGATACACAGTGGTGTTCCCACCAGATTTGGAGACTGAAATGACAAATAGTTGATATTATAACACTATTCATCTAGCTTTGAATTTATGAAAAAATAAAAAGAAAAAGATTCAAGGTAGTATATACAAACCGCTAGAAAGAGATCATGGCTCAAGAGACCATAGGCCATCCAAAGGCAACTAGCAAGAAATGAGAAAAATGACAAGTAAAATGGCATAAACTCCACGCTCTTTGTCTTTATCACTTGTCTCTGCACCCAATTAGTACGCACGTACATGAGTAATAATTTAATTAAATATAATCGAAATAGACAAAAAGATTTTAAAAAAAAATTGAAGGGGTCTAGTGATCATCATGCTCATGAGCAACCTGTATAAACTTATAATTAGAATCTTGTAAGAAATTTTACAACGTATAAGTGCTTTAACATTTTGGTTGATACTGTCGTCTGTCGAGACAATAATTACTCCTATTAGTTTAATTTAATATATCCGATGGATATCTATAATTAGATAGTCCACTTAATAAGTCCCTCTCATGGTGCATGTGTCCCATTAGATTGCGAGACAAGCCCCATAATACATAAAAACTTAAACTACTAATCAGTGGCGGACGCAGGTTTATCGTCAAGGGGTTCAAAAAAAGAAAAAAGTTAACCTTGTAGCTAGTGGGAATAGAACCAATAACCTTACAAAAGATTTTGAACTCCCTTAACCACTAAGCTATGCTTTTGGGCTATGCCAAGGGAATTCAAAACATAATATATAGAGATACAAAACAGATTTTGCCTTACATGTACAGTGTAATTATTTGGCTAAGGGGTTCGGGTGAACACCCTTCCACCCCTAAATCCGCCCCTGCCCTGCTACTAGTAGTACTTTACGGGGGGAAAAACGTAAACGAATAAAAGATTTAAGATATATATAGTACAGTAAAAAAAAAAAAAGTTCACTATCAATTCAATTTAACTATGTTTTTCAGATTTCCTTATTAGAGTAGTCACGAACATTTTTATTTTAAGTCAACTTAAGTTGCTGATTGATGGCGTAAAAATTAAATTTATACATTAATTATATGTGGACTCAATGCCGAGAATGAGAAGTTAAAGTCATGAAAAAACAAAAAAAAAGACTTACCACAACAACTAGAGGGGAAGCATACATAGCCACTGAAGCTACCAGTCCAATGCTCCCTACAAAAACCTTGCGACGGCGATGATCATGAAATACAAATGCAGATATAATTCCTGTTGCCACGCATATTAGAATTATAGGCACCACCATTTTAGCTACCTCCTTCTGCTTTTCAGAAGAAAAAAAAACTAAGTAATTAATATTGCACTATGCTATACAAATAATAATAATAATAATAATAACGTGCCATATTCAGAAAATTGAGATATATTCTACTTGCCTTTCCTTTAGCGGAAGAAAACCAGAAATATATGAGAATGAAAGAGATCTCCAAAAGAATCCCTATTCCATTAATAGTAACCACTGGAAAATTTTCCCATCGATAACTTACTACTGGTAACCCATACCATGTGTAGAGACAACAGTTGAACAATGCTAGTACGTAAGGTACGCATGAAAATCCTTCGGTACTCTTTTTCTTTATAACTCTAGAGAAAGTAAGTCTGCCAAACACAGGGAAAAAAATGTCATTGTATATATATATATAAACGATATATAGCATGTTATGATCTGAAATATTATATGAATATATAAGTAATTACATAGGTGCAGCATAGAGCAACATGGAGGCGGCATTCCCTGGGACAAATAAAACCATGCACGTTAATATATCATGTAATACTAGTTAATTACTATATATATAAAAATTATTCCTAGATATGGAAAAGAAAAGTGGAGTTAAATAAAAGTGTGGTTTACCCATTACTCCTACTGCCAAACGCAACATATCAGCCATTTCTTTTGGAGAGAAAAAATATATATGAATGAGGACGATAAAACTAGCTCAGAAGACCTGCTAATTAAGAAGCAAGTATATTTAAGGTGGTTGTCTCTGAACTGTTTTGTATTCCTCTAAGGTATAAATACTATGGGTTTTGCTTAAGAAAGAGAGGAAGTGCTGTCTACATCTATCCAAATTTGTGGGTGGAAGCTGACCAATCAATATCAAAATAAAAGAAAAAAGAAAAATTTGTGGTAGGAAATTAAAATTGGTTAGCTTGTGTATTTTATATGGAATAATTTGTTAAATGTAAATGCTCCATTTAAAAACGCTTTAATTTATGGGTATATAATAAGATAGAAGGAGGGAACGAGATGCATGCAAAAGGAAAAGCATAAGTTTGAAGAAATTCTATTTTACTACAAGATATATATGTTGGTTCTATCTGTTGGGTGGAAGATGTTACTGGACTTCCACTATCCACTTATTTTTTATGCAAAACGCTAATATTCAGGTGGTTTCACTTTCACGTCAGGCACAGGTGTGTCTCAATTTTTGTTTCATTGGGTTATTTCGAACCCACTCACCAGATTGATCCAATTATTTTTTATTCTCAGAACTCAAACCTCGATACTCTGGTTGAGAGTAGAGGGATAACATCTATTTATCACACCCGTTGGTCGTGTTAAATTTTTCTTACAAATTCTTATTCTCGCTCCATATGCAGTGTGTCATGAAGAATTTTTTTTTTCACGTTAGTATAGCATTAAGATTGGCGAAAAGGAGGACTTCTAGTTAATTAATGGTTATATACTAAAGCTGATTGGAAAATTACCTGAATAAAGATTTTGAAATTCTTGATAAACCATAGCAGTTTTACGTGTCCAGAGTACAAATTACTTATTGTTTACCTCGAAAATTCGAGTAACAATTAAATTTGATTTATGGTTTTAAAGATATGTGATTAGTTCAATACCAATTAATAATGAAGAAGTATAAAGTATAAGTGAAAGAAATGAATAAACCAAACCAGTGTTACTAAGCAGTATCGACCTCGAGCTCAGTGACCTCGAGATGAATTAAGAACAATAAAGCAAGAGGACCATTCTGATGAACAATGAGCGAAAAGTAGAGATATATTCTTTGCCAATGATTAGATGATGTTTACAAATGATTGGGATACCCTTTATATAATAGGGGAACCCTAAATAAGGTACATTTCTTACAGTAAAGAATC